TACGGATATCGACTCAATAGTAGAACAAGCGTTCGTAAAATTATTAGCTGAGGAAGACGCTTATGTTTATCGCGGTAGTGGCTTTACTTTGGAAGCCATAGACGGTTTATTATTAGGAATATACTGTTATGGGCTACCACAAAAACATGTATAAATAGAATTGTGCGTAACACAATATCACAGGTGTTACACACCTATATTTGATCATAGACTATCTATAATCATTAATTTAAAATATTATAAGATTAATATATATTCTTAGAAACACCTACATTTAATAGGCTGGCCATAAACCAATAATAACAATATATATTTTAAAAGATTAATATATATTCCTAGAAACACCTACATTTAATAAGACCAGTAATATATATTAAAAGATGTAATCTATAAAATGATAAAGTAGGTCGAACGAACATGGCCTATTGCTAAATAAGGAGTTATGCCGAAACAACAAGACCAATGACGTCAATCAATCCATATAAAAGAGGGATCAAAATGACCACAATTCAGATGAGTTCTAGTCACGGAACAACAAGCAACTTCACGTCACTTTGTATTAGAATTTTGTTAACACTTTGAGTATTAAAATAAATGTATTAATGTATTAAAAGTCTCATGTTTATTTAAATTAAATACATCTTCGACTTGCAACACTTGAAATCGAGCCGGTGGCACGTAACAATACAATTACACACCAATGGCTGGATCGTCATATATTGAATTACCGGCATATATAGATAGGAAACGGACCACCATCAACCCACAAAACAATGACCAACAATGTTTCAAGTGGGCTATATTAGCTAAGCATGTGACTGAACAACCAAAATATCGTATTGGTGAAAATTATCGCCAACACGAAGGAAAATATAATTTTGATGGTATTTCGTTTCCAACACCGCTATCGGATATTTCTAAATTTGAAAAAAATAATCCGAACGTCACTGTGAATGTGTATGGGTTAGACAAAAAGTTCCAGCCACCGCGTAAATATCCGACGTACGAGGTGTACCCGCTACGTGTCGCTGATGAAGAGAAAGCCAACCACTTTGATCTGTTGTCGGTGACGGACGACGAAAACTCACACTACATCTACATCTCGAATTTTTCCCGCCTTATACGCTCGCAAAAAACTCATCATGAAAGTCAGGCAATATTTTGCAAAAGATGCTTTACATCATTTCACAAACAAAATTTAAAGCATAAATTAAGCGGGCAGGCAGCGCTAGAACACCACAGATTAATATGCGGCCCGCATAAACCCATACTACCGAAAATGCCTGAAGATGGATCAGTTCTTGAATTTAACGCTTGGCAAAACGCACAAAGGCATCCTATTGTTATATATGCCGATTTTGAGGCTCTGCTTGTAAAGACTGATGAGGAAAAGGGTGATAATACAACAATCATACAAAAACACCGTCCTATGAGCTATGGTCTCATTGTGAAGGCGAGTGAAGATGTACCGACAGAGTTATTGAGTGAACACAACATACCAACGGAACCAGTGATCTACCGAGGAAGTGAGAGTCAGCCTGATATGGCGAGACATTTCGTCGAAACCGTGACGGATATATCGTTGAATATAGAGAAATTATTGAAGACGAATATTCCGATAAATATGTTCGCAGACGACATACAAGTTCTTGAAGCAGCGACGCACTGCAATCTATGCAAATGCGATGTTAATAACTACACCCGTATTCGCGATCATGACCACTTGACCGGGAAATTTAGACAGACTTTATGCAGTAGATGTAATTTAAGTCTTAAACAACCGAAATACGTACCAGTTTTCATTTATAATCTGTCCAACTATGATGCTCATTTTATAGTAACAGAACTTGATTATGATTCACATAGAATAAAAGTAATTCCAAACAGCGAGGAGAAAATCGTTACTTTTTCGAAATATATAAGTAACAATTTTACGATCAGATTCGTGGATACATTCAGATTTATGGCTACAAGCTTATCAACACTCGCCGCCAATCTAATAACACCAAACTTGGAAAAATTCCGCATAACCGCAAAACATTTTTCCAATAATGATCTACCACTTGTCACCCGTAAGGGTGTATATACTTATGACTTCACTGATGATTGGGCTAAGCTTGAACAAACAACATTACCTGCAAAAGAGGACTTTTATAGCACCTTAACAGAAGAATACATAAAAGAAACTGAATATCAGTTTGCGGAAGACGTATGGAGTCATTTCAATTGTCAAACGTTGGGCGAGTATTCAGATCTTTACCTGAAAATTGATGTATTGCTTCTAGCGGATGTATTCGAAAATTTCCGGGATTTATGTTTGAGCACATACAATTTGGATCCAGCATACTATTTTACAGCACCAGCGTTTTCTTTCGATGCAATGTTGAAATACACCTCAATAAAATTGGATTTACTATCGGATTATGAAATGCTATTAATGATTGAAAATGGTTAGTATAATGGAAATTATTTTTATTCCAACGATAATACGATAACACTTTTATAGGTATTCGAGGAGGACTTACACAGGCCAGCATGCGGTACGCAAAACCTAACAATGAGAGAACACCTGATTATAACCCAGCAGACCCAAAATCCTGGCTTGTTTATCAGGATTGTAAGTTAATCTATACATTATTATTATTATCATTATAAAGCTAATTTTATACTTTTAAAACCCTAGGCAATAATCTTTACGGTTGGGCAATGTCACAGTTCATGCCCTACGGAGGCTTCAAGTGGGTCAAACCGTCTCTTAACGGATTAGCTGATTTGAACGCGACTTCCCCCATAGGACGGTTCTATGAAGTCGACATAACTTATCCAAAAGAACTTCACGATAAACACAACAGCTTGCCATTTTTACCAAAAAATAGTATACCACCAAGCTCAAAAGTGCAGAAACTCGTGGCTACGTTTAAACCGAAAAAAAATTATGTTGATCACTATCGCAACCTCCAACAAGCCTTGAACAATGGTCTCATAGTTGAAAAGGTGAATATTATATTACATGTTTTTTTTTTTTTTTTTTTTTTTTTATCATAGAATTATTAACATTTATGTTATAGGTGCATAGAGTTGTTCAATTTAACCAGTCTGACTGGTTAGCCAAATACATTGCGTTGAATACCGAGATGCGAAAAAGGCAAAGAATGAATTTGATAAGGATTTCTTTAAGTTATTAAACAACGCTGTATTCGGTATGTTATTATAGAAAAAAAATAATTATTTTAATTATTGTCTTTATCATATGATTTTCATGCAGGAAAAACCATGGAAAACTTTCGTAAACGCATGGAAATGGAACTTGTATCGTGTGATAGACGTTTACAGAAATTAATAAACAAATCGACATTTAAACATTGCACTACGTATTCTGAAAACCTAAATGCTGTAACATTGGAAAATAAGATCATCAATTTTTGCAAACCTATTTATATTGGTAATTTTTCTATTAATAATATATATACATATATAAAGGTATTATTGAGATTTTTAATGTACATAGGTCTCGCGGTTCTCGACATAAGCAAAAGTTTAATGTATGATTATCATTATAATGTGATGCGAAAACACTATGGTGATAAAATCGAGCTTATGTATACAGATACAGGTATTATTTTTTTTTTTTTATTATTATTATTAATTCGATATATGCATAATAATTTTCATAATTTATAGATTCATTGGTATATTATATCCAAACCGACGATTTCTACAAAGACCTCAAGAATAATAACAACTTGCTCAACCGAATGGATACTTCCAACCTACCGGAAGACCATACATGTTACATTGCTGAACGAAAAAAAATACCAGGTCTGTTTTCTGATGAAACGGATGGGCTCGTAATGACCGAGTTTTGCGCGCTGCGAGCAAAATCATATGCTTACATTTTGGATGGTAAGGAGAAGATCAAGGCCAAGGGAATTAGAAGGCATGTTGTAAAGAATCATATGACGTTTAACGATCATAAAAAGTGTTTGTTTGGTGAGGAGGAGATGGATGTTAAGAGAGAAAATGTATCTATCCGCTCTTTCAAACATCAACTGATGACAATAAAATCAAACAAATTAACGTTTAATAATTTTGATGATAAGAGAGTTATCCTAGAAGATAAAATACATACACTGGCTCACGGTCATTATAGAATAGAGTAAGTTATTACAAACATAATATATATATATTTTATTAACATTTTTCTTATTTTTACAGGGAAGATGATTAGATGAAGAAGGACAGAACTAGAACGAGGACGAGAAAGGTTTAATGAGAGACCTTCTACACTGCATATAGTTTAGTTAAATATTTTTATTGTAAATATTACCATGTTATATATTGTATATATATTTTTTTTTTGTAAATGCATATTTTGTAAATTACCATGTATATATTTTGTTTTATTGTAAATATCACTCGAATAATTTGTATATTCGTGTAAATGTAATCTATAACCCTGTATATTATTCTGACAAATGTTAACACATAAAAATATAAAAACAATGTTAAAATATAATTATGTTTATTGTTATATTTTTAAGAATTATTTATAAACCATTTTCTTATAGCAAAAACTTTATAAAATGTACATTGTTTAGGATTAAATTCCATATGAAAAATACAACAAGGTAGAGTTTCGTCATCGCATATTTGATCCAAACGAGGGCAGGCCAAGTCTTCAATGTTGATGAGTGTAACGTGTGGTATATACTCCATAAGAATTTGTTTTTTCTGTTCACCTTTGACGTAAATGCTTTTGAACTTTAATGAATTCAATATTTTACCGAGTTCTTCATACTCGATATCGCCGTATTCTATAG